GTAGTTCTACTTTGCCCGCAGAAGTGGAGCAAAAACCCCCACCCGCGAGCTGTTCACGGGGGCACCTTCCTCCATCAAAGACTGGAAGCATTACTTCTTTTTTGTGAAGAACCTGGGCTTTCCCCCTCTGACCTGGAGGGCGGAGACTCAGGTTTCGGATCTGCTTCCAGACCCGCTCCCCATAGCCGAGCTCAGCCGCCTACTCAGCTCAGACGAGAAGCTGGAAGTGAAAGAATTCAGCAATGCCTAGCTTTGGGCGGCGGGGCTGATCCGAGCTAACCCCTCAGATCCCTCGCTAGAGACTAGGCCGCTCTCACCAGACGAACTGACCTCCTGTAAACGACCCGACCTTCCTCTTCTTTCCCCTTCTTTATTTATACATCTACTGACCTCCTGGTCTTCTGTTTTTGTAGTGAAGAGATTTTCTTCCCTTCTGACCATTGGAGGTGCCAGCAGTCAGGGCGCCACCACGCAGCCTTCCTCGGCTATCCCAACCAGCTCGGCACCAGTTCCGCCACATCAGCCAGCTCCTGCCCAGTCCTCTAAGCCTGTTGAGGCTGGGAAGAAAAAGAAAAAGAAAACGACTGCCAAGAGGGCTAGGGTGGACGCGACCTCATCCCCAGGTCAGGAGGAGAGGTCGACCCCGGAGCCCGGTCCGGGCGGCCACTATGGGGTGAATACCGCCGAGGAGCAGGCCCGAGCTGAAACTCCTCCCAATCTGTGGCAACGCCAGAGCTCCATCCTGCTCTTTGACCCCCAAACTCGGCTGGTCACGCATCCACACCCCATGCACTTCTGCCCCCAGTGGAAGCTCTCCATAAACGATCGAGCTCAATTTCCCGAGGTGGCCCGGGAGCTCGTTCATGGGGCCATCCTTCCCCGCGATCACAACTTGGTCAAGGCCATGGGCTCCTCCGACCTCCTCGACTATTACTACACGGGCACGGCTCAAGTGAACGTGGTCGGGTCTGAGCTGGCCCAGCGTTATGGGAGTCTGCTGCCCCTGATGAATGAGACCAAGGCAGCCAACGAGAAGCTGCTCAGCCAAAATGCTTCGGCCGTCACTGAAGTCGAAGGCCTGAAGAAGCAGCTCGCCTTGACCCATTCAAACTTCGAGCTAGAGCTCAAGAAGAACTCCGACCTGTCGACCCAGCTGAAGGAGGCGCAGGAAAAGGGGGCCGAGCTATCGGCCCAGGTAGAGGCGGCTAAAGCCGAGGGAGGTCAGGAGGGCGTGCGAGCCTTCCTTAGGTCGGAGAACTTCAGGGGTGACCTGGCCATCCTGAACACCCCGGTGTTGCAGCATGGGTATTCCCAGGCCCTGGAGGAGGTGCAAAGGCTGGGCCTGCCTGGGTTTGATCTGGGCAAGTTTCCCAACTACAACCCCCTGGCCGTGGAGCAGCTCGACCGCCTGGTGGAAGGCTATACGCACGGACGAAAGTTGGCCGACCTGGTTGCCGATCCCTTGCTGCCAGTGACCACTCCTGAATCCGAGCAAGAGGAAGAAGAGGGCGAGAACTAGAGTAGGGCCTTAGAGTCCGAACTGCAGGTAGGCAGTTCGTTTTGTACGAGCTCCGTTCCGCCTTTGTTTAATTCCTTTTGTACGAGCCGGGCACCTTCTTGTAAAGTTTATTTAATGAAATGAAAAAGCCATTCCTTTGTTTCATACTTAGTCTTATTTGCAAAGATCATCGCAGAGTACATCAGTTCGGCCCTATGCCGACCTAAAGGAGCTTACTTTCTAAGACAAAGTAACTTATTAGCCAAGTACATCAAATAATAACGAAAGATCTCGACCTTGGAATGAACTGGTAATGCGCGAGCTGTCTTTCTACCGGAAGATCCTCAAATTGGAGTTATGCCAGGTACGCGGGACCTCTTCCCCGCTGAGGTGAGCTAACTTGCAATATCCAGCTCGGTCTGCTTCTTTCACCACATAGGGACCCTCCCAATTCGGGCCCAGCTTGCCCGTGCCCTGAAGTCGGCTCACGCTATTCTTCCGCAAGACTAGGTCCCCCGGCTTGAAGGAGAGAGGCCTCACCCTGGCATTGTAGTGCCGCGCGATCTGCCCTTTGTACTTAGCCATGCGTATGGCCGCCTCCTCTCTACTTCCCTCCAGCAGATCCAGGTTAAGGCGCAGTTCATCCTCATTGTCCCGAGCTATGAAGTTCTGAACCCTGCCCGAAGGGACACCTATCTCCGCAGGAATCACCGCCTCTACTCCATAGGTTAGAGCAAAAGGAGTCTCCTGGGTAGCGGTTCGGGGCGTAGTTCGGTAAGCCCACAGTATGGTAGGCAGCTCGTCCAGCCACCCAGTTCGGGCGAACTCCATCCGTGTTTTCAAACCGTGCAGGATGGTCCTGTTGACATTTTCGACCTGTCCGTTGGCTTGAGGGTGGCCTACCGAAGTGAAGTGCTGACGGATTCCGAGCTCCGAGCACCAACCTTGGAGGGCGCTGTCAGCGAACTGGCGCCCATTGTCCGATACCAGGGCACGGGGTATACCAAATCGGCAGACGATGTTTTTCCAAAGAAACTTCTGTATCGACCTGCTGCTAACGGTGGTAAGTGGCTCGGTCTCCACCCATTTGGTGAAGTAATCTACTGCTACCACCACGTGCTCGTAACCCCCAGGAGCTCGGGGAAAAGGGCCCAGCAGGTCGATTCCCCATTGAAAGAAAGGCCAAGGACTCTGGAGAGGGATCATCTCTTGAGTCGGGGCGTGATGGATCGGCGCATGCAGCTGGCAGGACCTACACCGAGCTACCAGTTCGGCGGAGTCCACGAAGATGGTAGGCCAGTAATACCCAGACAGCATTCCTTTCTTGGCCAAAACCCTTGGACCGACGTGGTTTCCGCAGATTCCCTCTTGCAGCTCACGCAGGATGTAGTTTCCCTCCTCTGGAGTAATGCACCGCAGCCACGGACGTAAGTAGGATTTCTTGTAAAGCACCCCATTCGAGAGCTCGTACCCCTGCGACTTGAGGAGGACCCTACGTGCCTCCACCCGGTTTGGAGGGAGCTCCCCATTAGCTAGGTATCGCACGATGGGATCCATCCACGAGCTTATTACTTGGATGACCGCCGCATCTACCTGGTCATACGCCCGACTTCGAACGACCTCAACCAAGACCTCTTTGTTCAACGTGCCGACCGAGGTGGAGGCTAGTTTGGACAGTGCATCCGCCCTCTTATTTTGGCTTCGCGGCACCTGCTTGAGCGTGAACAATTTGAACTGAGTTTCCAGCTCACGTACTTTGGCAACGTACCTTCTCAAGGGCTCCTCTTTAACTTCGTAACTTCTCCCGACCTGGTTGACTATCAGCTGTGAGTCGCTGTAGACTTCTATTGACTCAGCCCCCAGCTTCCGGGCTATCATCATCCCCGCGATCAGAGCCTCATACTCGGACTCATTGTTGGAGGCTCTGAAATCAAATCTCAGGGCGTAGGCCAACTCATCCCCCAAGGGGCTGGTCAGGAGAAGTCCCGCTCCGCATCCGTCCTTGCTTGAAGATCCATCCACGAACAGTGTCCAGGTCGGGATGGTCTGATCGACCTGGCCCGTGGCCTGTTCAGCCTCAACAGCCTCTTTGACCTGTTCGGCCTTGGCTTCCTTTGTGGCTTGTCCGACCCCGGCAAGTCCCTCGGCCTGCTTGGCCTCGACTGCGTCTATGGTCTGTTCAGCCATGGAAGTCTGAGTGCCTTTCACGACCTCGGCAGCTTCTCCGACCTGCCTGGCCTCAGCTACGTCTTGGGTCGACTTGGTCTCGGCGGCCTGCGCGACCTCGACAGTTCCTCTGGCCTGCACAGCCTTGACTGCGCCACTGGTTAGCTCGGCTTGCAACTGTTCTTGCCCAAAGGAAATTCTTTCGGCTATGAAATCCGCCAATGCTTGAGCCTTAATGGCCGTGCGGGGGTTGGTAGCTGAGATCGTATTCAGACAGCTCCACGGCCCACCTTACCATTCTTCCTGATGCATCAGGCTTTGAGAGAATTTGCTTGAGAGGTTGGTCGGTCATGACCACCACGGGGTGAGTTTACAAGTACGACCTGAGCTTCCGGGTCGCGTGCACCAATGCTAGAATATACCGCTCAATTGAGGTGTACCTCTGCTCCGCCCCCTGCAAAGCTCGACTGACATAGTATATGGGTTTCTGGATTTTACCTTCTTCCCGAACTAGTACCGCACTGATCGCCTCCTCCCCAACTGCTAGATAGATGAATAAGACTTCTCCTTGTGCGGGAGAGGTCAAAGCTGGCAAGCGTGCGATGTGGGCTTTGAGCTCGTCAAACGCGCGCTGGCACTCGGGAGTCCATTCGAACTGGGGACCTCTTCGCAGGGCCCTGAAGAAGGGGGAACCCCGAACGGCTGACTTCGACAGGAACCTGTTCAGGGCCGCCATCCTGCCACCTAGCCGCTGGACCTCTTTTATGTTTCGGGGAGGAGCCATGTCCATGATAGCTTTCACCTTGTCGGGATTAGCTCTTACCCCATCCTTGGATATCATGTACCCCAGGAACTTGCCCGACCTAACCCCGAAGGTGCACTTCTTGGGGTTCAGCCGCATCCGCGAGCTCCGTAGGACGTCAAAGATTTCTCTGAGGTCGTTGATGAACTGCTCCTGAGTTCGGCTTTTCACCAGCATGTCATCCACGTACACCTCCATATTTCGGCCGATCTGGTTTTTAAACAGCTTGTTGACCAGCCGTTGATAGGTCGCGCCTGCATTTTTCAATCCAAATGGCATAGTGGTATAACAATACGTACCGTATTCGGTGATGAAGGCAGTCTTCTCCTGATCTGCCTCGTCCAGAGCTATCTGGTGATACCCCTTGAAAGCATCCAGAAAGCAGAAGATCTCGTACCCAATGGTCGAGTCGACTAGCTGGTCGATGCGAGGGAGGGGGTAACAATCCTTCGGACAGGCCTTGTTCAGGTCGGTGAAATCTACGCACATTCTCCAGGCCCTGTCCTCCTTTTTGACCAGCACAGGGTTGGCCAGTCAGGTCGGATAGTAGATCTCCTTCACAATTTTGGCCTCCAACAACTTGCCTACCTCTTCCTTGACGACCTCGTTGCGCTCAGGAGCGAAGTTCCTCTTCTTTTGCTTCACTGGCCGGATGTTTGGGTCAACGTGCAACCTGTGAACTGCCAACTCGGGAGGGACTCCGGGCATGTCATCAGCGCTCCACGCGAAGATCTCGGCATATTCCTCCAGCAAGGACTCCAGAGCTCTCCGTGTCAGCTCGCTCAGACCTGCTCCGGTTTTTACCACGCGATCAGTTCGCTCGGGGCAGATCGACAATTCGACCAGACTCTCATCCGTCTCCAACCTTTCCTCCTTCAATTTTTCCTTTTCAGCAGGCTCCCAGGGCTCCAGACAGGTCGTTTGGGCCACCAGTTTCTCCTTACCTTTGAGGGTTGCAATGTAACAGGCCCGAGCTACCTCCGGGTCCCCCACCACCTCGGCCACCCCCTCATGCGAGGGGAATTTCATGCTAAGGTGTAGGGTCGAGCAGACAGCTCGGAGAGCGTTGAGGGTTGGTCGCCCTAGTATCATATTGTAGGAAGACGGCTCCTTCATTATCGCGAAATTCACCGGTACAGTTCGGCACTTCGGTGACTCCCCTACCGTGACCATGAGGGTTATCATTCCCTCTGGTCTAACCGGCGGACCTGCAAAACCTATCAAGGGAGTCCGAACTGGGATGAGCTGCTTGTCTTCCAGCTGCAATTCCTTGAAGGTTTTGTAATACAGCACATCGATGGCACTCCCATTATCGATGTACACATTCTTTACCTTATAGTTGCACGTGATAACTTCTATCACGATCGCTTCATGATTATTAGAGGCTAAGGGTACCGCGTCCTCTGGCCCGTAGATGATTTCCTCGTACATCTTCAAACGTTTGCTCGAGCTTTCTCCGCTAGGGGGAGGTCGGTTGTTTCGTCGAGCCGTGTGGCTATCTCCTCCAGCAGGTCCCCGTGCAATAGTGTTGATTACTCCAGCTAGGTTCTGAACCCCCTGCTCCGGAGTACGATCACGAGGACCTCGAGGTCGGTCGTGCGAACTGGCCGTCCGATCTCGCTTGAACCCTCCTGGCTTCTGGTCCGTTCGCCCGTCACGGACGAACTGTCCGAGATGACCTCTTCGTATCAGTTTTTCGATCTCCTTCTTAAGGTGTCGACAGTCCTCAGTATCGTGCCCGACATCCCTGTGGTAAGCACAATACAAACCCTGATCTCGCTGGGTTTTGTCGCCCCCCAGCGGCCGAGGAGGACGAGAGATCCCTTGATGTTCCATCACGGCCAGAACCCGAGCCCTGGGCGCGGTGAGCGAAGTCCAGGTCTTTTCCTTCTCCCAAGGTCGGCTCCGAGGTAAGCGCTCGGATACGCTCTTTCGGTCCTGACCTGGCCGTGACTCCCCCAGGTTGGCACCCTTCCTTCGCTTGTCATCCCGCAACCTTTCCTGGGCGCCCTTCAGACGGTTGGCCTCCTCGGCATTCGCCTTCTCGTGGGCTCGATCTAGCATCTCCCGGACGGACTTGGGAGGTCTTTCTACGAACTCCGTATACAACTTCTGCTTGCGCAACCCGTTGACGAAGGCAGCCATCACCACCTTGTCATCTCGGTCCCGCACCTGAAGGGATTCGTTGTTAAACCGTACCATATACTCACGCAATGACTCCTCGGGCCCCTGATGGACAGTCATCAGATGAGCCGTGGTTTTGGAATAAGCGCGGGAGGAAACGAACTGGGCCGCGAACAGCCGCGCGAGCTGGCTGAACGACCGAACTGACCTGGGAGGCAAACCCTGAAACCATTGTCGGGCCTTTCCTTCCAAGAACATCGGAAAGGTCTTGCACCTGACCGCATCAGCAGCTGTCTGAAGGCGCATCTGAGTCAGGAATGCAAACAAGTGATCCTCCGGATCTGTGGTCGCGTCGTAGGACTTCATGGATGGTATTTTGAACTTGGCAGGCAGAGGGTAATCTTCGATATCCGGTATGAAGGGAGATGCAGTGTACCTATCCGCCTCTGGATCCAGCAGGAGATCCAGTTCATCCTGGACCTGATAATCCTCCTTCCTGTGAGGGATCTCCATCCGAGAAAGCCTCAGAACGGGCTCCGGATGGCTAGTTCGGGAATTCCTATGAGAGGGCTCTGGCACCTGGACCTGCTCGCGTGTAATCTCCCTTCGCGCCCTCTTCGACCTGGGGCTTCCAGATCGAGATTCCGAACTCCCTGTTCTGCCCGTTTTTCGCACCCGACGCTCCGGACTGGGAGGGACTCCAGATTGTCCCTTCACCGCACCAGATTGTCCAGATTGTCCCTTCAGGTACGTCACAATAGCCTCAAAGGTAGGCAAGTTCGCGGCAACCGACTGCACCAGTTGTTCCGGCGAGATCTGCGAGAGCTCGACCCTTACCTCCCCTGTGTCGGCTTCCTGGTGAACTGGTTGGGGGCCGCCCTGAGCGCCCCCCTCAGTACCATCCACATTCCTCTGAGACCTAGTTTTCGGCATGTTGTTCGCGAAAAAAAAGAGAAGAAAACGTTTCCCACAGACGGCGCCAATTGATGCGACTGCCGAAGTGATGATCCGAACTGAGTTAGGTTCGGAGGAACGAGCTGGTTGAACGTCCGACCTGCACGTGAGCGAGCTGCGGGGCTAGGTCCCCTGAAGCAACTCCGACGATCAAGTCAGAACTGGCTCGTAAATAAAAGAGTAGAGATTGTACTATCAGTAGCGTACCTTGTGTTCTTCCTTCGGGTGGCATTTATAGAGTCTCCAGTGTTTGTTTTCTGGTAGGACTAGGAGTCCTTATTGGGGAGGAAACGGTTCCTAGGGCTCCGCGAGGCGACTTGGGGGTGCGGACCTCGCAGCCCATCAGGCCCATCGGCCTGAGAGGCGGCGCTCACATGGACCCGTGGGCTGACCTGGTGCCCCAGTCCGCTTCCTCCTGTCCGAGCTCGTGTGCCGGACTGATGTGTTCGTGGACCGGGCCGATGTGTGCCTGGGGCCTACTACATAAAGCTTTTTTCTTAGGATGCAATTAGTATCTGAGATCAAAAAGGAGAATGTATCGTTGCCCAACAGAATCCAAACATTTTCAATTATCTTGCCCGATATCCTATACAGTGAAATTGATGATTTCAAACAGGAGAGCAGAGGATCCAATTCGAAGACACTGGATTTGCTTATCCATCTGAATTACACTCTGATATCTACGTTTCCAGTAAACAAGTAAGGTTCGATACCAATTCTTCCAAAATTTATATACATGCCAATCAGGCAGCGGCAATACACATAGTTCGGCCGCATGCACTAAAAGGAGATGAGGCGCCAATCCAGTTGATTTCACCTGTTGAGATACAGCATGGAAACACCACTCCACCTGCTTGTAATCACTATCATGACGCCCCGGCCATGTTTTCTCCTCTGGTGGATTCGTCGGGAACATATTCCATGAATTCAACGATGTCCTTGTTCCTCTGTTCATTACGGGCAGGCACTTTCGATCCCACGTAATATTTATGGTTACCGATTTCCAGCATTGGTTTTTCAACAAATACAAGAAAATATTCTCCCAGTTGCCCAGTTACGAAGCTATAAATGCAGCTGAAACTGCAAATGGGACCGTTCATTGCTTTCCAGGAGCAGTGATAGGGCTGAAGTATCATGACAATTTGTATTTGAACAGGAGTGACGTTCCCGGGGGTTATTCCATGTTTGAATTCAGGGATTTCCTCGTAAAATCATTTGACTTCAACATAAAGAATGTCTCCCGGCTGATTGAGGAGGAAAAGCCAAAATTGCTGCTTCTGTCGCGTGCAAAAACAAGAAAAATCCTGAATCAGGTTGAGGTGGTAAAGCTTATGGAGCAGTTGGGCTTCCGAGTTGTTCCTGCTACGCTGGATATGATGATGAATTTTGAGGAATTTGCTCATGTTGTGAACAATTGCAGCGTTATTGTTGGAGTTCATGGTGCCGGGCTAACAAATGAACTGTTCTTGCCTAATGGAGCTGTGGTAATTCAGGTGGTTCCTCTGGGTCTTGATTGGCCTGGAAATGCCTGCTTTGGCGGGCCAGCGGTTGACATGGGTTTGCAATACCTGGAATACAAAATTGAACCTCAAGAGAGCTCGCTCTATGATTTGTATGCTCCGAATCATCCTGTGATTGCCGACCCTGAATCCATGAAGGCACAGGGTTATCAGGCTTTCAGGGCTATATATATTGATAAGCAGGATGTCAAAATCAATGTTGAAAGATTCAGGAAGACACTTGTTGAAACAATGAGACTTCTTGGACGCCCCACAAATCCTCTGCCTTGATGGAAAGACTTCAGATTTTGGTGCTCTGTCTTTTTCGTTTTTTGTAGGTTATTTAATGATTCTTTTTGATAGTCATCTTGTAAATGAAGAGGCTTTCTGTAGATTCAATTCAATGCCGTCTGTTTCACTAAAGTACAGTGAGGCATCTAATTTTATAGTCTCAGTATCTTTCTTTCATGATTGTTTGAGTTCTGTTTCTGAAACTATTAATCTAGAGATATTAATCTAGAGAAAGTTCATTTTCCCTTTTTCTCCTAGAAATTAAAATAAGGGGGGAAAAACTAAAAGACATAAATGAAAAAGATTAAAGAATCGATACTGTTTTTCAATTGAAAGAAAAGAATCGAAAAGGGAAAAAAAATTTTTTTTTTTTTTTTTCCTGAGGAAAGCAAGGAATCAATCAATACTTTAGAGCTGGACGTTTTTAAGCAGCAGCAGCAGCAGCAGCAGCAGCAGCTGGTATTCGACCAGTGAGAAAAGGGGGAAAAAAATACCTGGACCATTAGACTCTTCAAATCAATTACTCAATTAGTGGGATTTTTGTAGAAGACAAAGTCGTATGTAATGCTTGATTATGATGTGGAAAGTTACTTGTGCGATGCAGAAACATAGATTAGATACAGCTGGCGCAGGAATGTGTGCATTGATTTCCTTGTGTTACGGCTACAGTATTGAGTGGCGATCATATTTTTAGGTCATAATCTCCCTCCCCTCCTCTCCTCCCCATTTATGGGATATTTATAGAGCCGTCCTGGTCTACATCTTAATTGTATGTATTGTTTTATTTATTTCCTTCAAGAAAAGGAAAAGGAAAAGGGAAAAAAAAAAAAAATTGTATCGTCTTGTCTTCGACAAAGAACGGCCCGAGTTTTATATTTCTCAAAATCAAATCTTTGACGTAAGAGATGCCCTACTGCCTTTCCCTAAATATTATTATTATTTTTTTGATCGATTGACAAAGAAATTGTATGTATGTATGTGTATGTATATATATATATATATAGGAAAGTTGAAAGCTACCTTAAGTAAAAGGTCCTGTAATGAAAAGCAAAAATTTGTAGGTCGACGCAAAGGTTAAACCGCGGCTGCTGCCCAAAAAAAAAAAAAAATTTGTAGGTCAGTGTTGTTTATATGCATGAACCTTAGTTGAATATCAATCAAGTTGCAAATTCTAGAAGCAAGACAGGGAAGAAGACAGACAGAAAGGTAAAGCAATTACAGGAAGTAGTAATACTAATAAACAAGAAGAGAGGGACGTCTAAACCATGTTTTGTCTTAGAAGAGAAGAAGAGGTTGCTGGATGAGAATTGAGTGCTTCGTACTCATACGTTGAAGTCAAGACAGGGACTTGAATACAACAGCAATTGTAGTCCGGAGTAAAGAGGATCGATGGTGGAGGAATCCAAACGACTGGTTTGCAGCCCAACTTTCTTAATCTCCTTGCTCATCTTTCACGCTTTGGCCTACTCTGCAATATTTTGCCAGATTGATGAATGTAATCTAGCTCTTCTATCCACCATCCGATTGTTTTCTCTTTTTTTTTGTTGTCTAGGAAAAACATAGATTTTGTTTTCTTACTTAGCCTTTATGTGAAAAAAATTTGGACGGCGATTCCATGCATATTCGTGGATGCTCATCGATCTTTAATACGTTGTAGGGAAGGCAAAGTTCTCAAGTTCAGACAGCAATCTCGACGCGAAGCTCACAAATTCGAATAACCATCTTGGCACAGGCAGAAAAGTCGCCGTCAAAGATGTCGTACCCAAGAAAGACCCGCTCAAGATTATGCTCAGAAGGCTATTAACAGGTTTGTTATGTTCTACTAGCTAGTCTGAGTTTCGATCGATCTTTAGCACTTTCATTAATAAAAAATATATCTCTCTCCCTTTGATTGTAAGATAAGAAAGATGCTTTCCCTTTCCTTTTTTTTTTTTTTTTTTCCTTTTTCTCCCCCCCCCTCCCCCTCTACTCATGAATTTGGCTGTGCTACCTAGCTATATATGTTGATGTTGTTAAGAGCGACAGTCAATTGACGAGTTGTGGAGCTTTTTGCCATCCTACAAATTTGTTGTTCTTGAAAGCGGAAAAATTACTCCACAAGATTATGTATGTATATGTAGAGATACCAATATATTTGTTTAACATGCATCTCCGAGAGATCAAATCAAATCAATTTTCGCCAAAAGTCTTTTTGGAGTCAAGAATTTTGATTCTTTGGAGCTAGCAGGAGAACAACGGACTCGATTCGAAGAAACTGGATTTGCTCACCTGTCCGAGTTGAACTCGGACATTTATATTTCTAGCAAAGAAGTGAGGTTCGACACGAATGCTTCCAGGATTTACATATACTCCGATCAGGAATTGCACAAGTACACGGCTCAGCCGTACCCACTTAAAAACGATGAAGTGGCAATGAAAATGGTCAAGCCCGTCGAGATTCTGCACGGTAACGTCCGCCCACCACCTTGTGGTTTCAAACACAAGGTGCCGGCCGTGGTTTTCTCCTCGGGCGGATTTGCTGGGAACATATTCCACGAATTCAACGACATTATCATTCCCGTCTTCATCACGAGCCGGCATTTCAGATCCAAGGTGAAGTTCATGATCACGGATTACCAGCTTTGGGTGCTCAACAAATTCAGGAGGGTTTTAACCAAGCTGTCGCATTTCGAGTTTATAAATGCAGCCGAAACTAGTAAGGGGGCCATTCATTGTTTTCCAGGGGCCATTGTTGGGCTCAAGTATCATGACAACTTGGCAATCAACACCAGCGACACCCCAGGAGCTTATTCCATGGTCGAATTCAGGGATCTGCTTAGAAAATCGTTTAATTTGAAGCCGAGGGATGTGTCCCAGATGCCGGGGACAGAAAAGCCACAATTGCTAATAGTGTCTCGCACGAGAACGAGAACTATAGTGAATCAAGGAGCCGTGGTGAGGATGATGGAGGAGTTGGGTTTTCGCGTGTTCATTCCTACCAATGATCTGATGTCAAATTTGGATGAATTTTCTCGGGTTATCGGTTCCAGCAGCGTTATGGTTGGAGTGCATGGTGCCGGGCTGACAAATGAAATTTTCCTGCCTAACGGGGCAGTCATGATTCAGGTGCTTCCACTCGAACTCGACTGGGTTGGAAATGCATACTACGGCGGACCGGCAACGGGAATGGGGTTGCATTACTTGGAATACAAGATTGAGCCTCAAGAGAGCACACTTTATGATTTGTATGGACCGGATCATCCCGTGCTTAAAGATCCCGAGTCCATCAAAGCACAGGGTTACAGGAAATCGAGGGTTTATTATTTGGACCAGCAGAATGTGACGATCAATTTGGGAAGATTTAGGAATACCCTTCTTGAAGCAATGAGGCTCATCGGACGCTCCACAACAAACCCTCCAAACTGAAGGAGAAGAAAACAGCTAGCTTCTTTTTCGTTTGGTTTAGTTTTGGCTAGACTATTTTTTTGGTTGTTTTATGACGTTACGTAATAGACATCCCTGGAAAGAGAAAACCTTTGCCGCCTTGCTGCGGAGGGAATCAGTCATTAATTGGTTGCAAAATTAAGGCAAACTTTGATATGATAAGAGGGTATGGTCCCTCTAATTGTACAAGTTTTATATATGTGTTAATAATGTTGAGTAGTTCTCTTCTTAATGTTGAAACAAACAATTGTACTTATTGCATTGGGTTTACAAAACATAGGGTGGCTTTCGAAGAGATCTTTTCTCTTTTGCCCCGTAGACTCAGATCGTATACAAAAATGTTTTTTCTTTCCTTCCAACTGGTTGGTAAGTTATGCTTTGATGGAGGACCAAATTATTTTTCCTTATCAATTTGATAATGCGTATATAATCGTTTGCATTTTGTTGAGTGATGGGTCCGGGAGTGGTTGAAAGAATCAGCACAATATAAAGGTGAACTTATCTTTTGTTCCCAATTTTTGTGTTTGATTACGATACCAGTAAACTTTGGCTGCGGGACCAGTTGTTGAACAATCGTCGTATGCATAAAATACAAAAAAGAAAGGCACACACACACACACATATATATATGTATACATAGCTAGTAGAAAAAACTCCAAGCTGCTGAGTCAAAAGTTGCCTGATGGCGATTAGATCTTAATCAATTTTTGGGGTTATCTACCTAATCTTCAAAGAATTGTAAAGTAACAGGAGTAGGAGAAACTGGCTTGCGTTGCCATGCGTTTAAGCATCAGCTCTCGCTCGTAAAATGGTGGCATTATTCAAAACCATCCATCCCTTGATTGCGAACTTCTAACAAGAAGCCCAGGTACAAACTATAAAATTCCGTTGTTGTCTTTTACATTGGAATATTCATTTTGATCACCGATCTCATCATATTCTCATTGATCCTTCATTCAACCTTGGCTGTTGTGACATGAAATTTATTCTCCCAGAATAATAATAATAATAATGGGATTGACAAGTTTTAACCCTTCTGTCGACTCGACTCGACTCGACTGTTAAAAAGAAAAAGAAATCACATATAGGTGGTGGGATTCAAATAATCCACTCATGATAAAAGGGAAAGGGGTAATTGAAAATAAAATTCTGCATCAAAAAGGGAAAGGAAGTGCCCTACTAGCAAGTTGCAATAACTAGAAAAAGGAAAAAGCAGGGTGGTGCTGAATAAAGAGAAGTGGAGAAAGAACATCATGAGAATCTTCTCCACATTATTGTTTAACAAGGTAAGAGGGGCACTTGAATGGTGGAATCAAGTCATGTCTCTCATAGATATCATCATTACTCCTAATCATGGTGGATTCTTACGTGATAATTAACTTCGTAAGAAAATTCTATATCATTTCTGCAAATTCCAACTTAAACATCTCATAACTTGACTCTTCTCGTCAATCATAAATCATCTTTTGCCGTGTGACTTTTGCACATCAGAGATGGACTTTGTTGATAGATACACACTAGTATCGTCAAACCGCTTATATGACGAATTGAATTTGGACAAAATGTAGGCGGAACTTGCACACCCCCACCCCCCAAAAAAAAGGAAAAAAAATGATAATGATAAATGACTTCCCTTTAATTTGTTTGATTTATGTTTTTTTTTTAGTAACCGAGAGACCAAAAATTCCGGGTATAGCATGTTCTAAATGGATTTTTGGAGTTGCCAAATATTTAAAAATGAAAAAAAATAAATGAAGACACGATGCTATGAGTTGAGGAACGATGCAGGAAAAGTGGCTGGCTGGCTGGCTGGTTTGCAGTTTCTCAACTTCCATCAATCAGCAGGCTTACCGTTTTCCCTTTGGATTACTGTGCGCGTTTTTCCAGATTGATCAACGTAATTCACACTTCTAATTCCTTCTAACTCAATTTTTATCTACTGTTAAAATTCCTGACGTGTATTAGGTCCTAGCTCTCAATATTATGAAGTAAGGAAAGCATGCTTTGCATATTGGGCTGATAATAATGTTGGCCCCACCATTTAAGGCAAATGAAAATATAAACAGCAAGAAGCACTGAAACTTGGAGTTAGAAGGCTAGTTTTTACTAGGAAAAGAATTTTTGCCCCCCTCCCCATTTCCTACCAACATTTTTCTGTCACGGATCAACGTATCTCTAAGTTATTACCGGTAAAGAGGAGTTCATTTGCCTACTAATTTCAACAGTAGAGCAGCAAAGATTGCAGCAACCTATTCAAAGCAGCAGCCTAGTTGATGGAAGGGCATGAAGACACGAGTCCAGGCCACATAATCCTACAAATAGAGAGGACCGTCGGCTGGTACAAACAAACGACTCGGTGGAAGCAAGATTATTGAGTTTTTTCTCTTTTCCAATTGAACAGTAGATCTTCTTTCAGCAATAGATAGCTCCAGATTTTCACTAACTGATTCTAATCACTGAATGCGAGCAGGGACAAGATCCCAACAAGCTGGAAGCCACAGGCTTTGCTATAATATTGCAATTTGCTTTGACATCTGCACTGCTAACATACCTGTCAGGATTGACACGAGGACAATGACAATAAGCTCTGGAAACTGGTAGTGCTGTTGGTCAGCTATATGTAAGGCCAAACGATGGAGGTCTTCTCAAATATGTTAGACCAGTGCAGATTTTCCAGAAAAACATCACAACACCATTTTGCCTATACGACCACGACACACCTGCTGCAATCTTCTCTTATAGTGGCCTCACGGGAAACCGCTTCCATGAAAAAAAGGGAGATGATCAACAAACAACTTGCCACTTCAAAACTCGTGTCCAGTTTGATTCTGCTGTTAAGGTGCTGGATCTAAAAGCGAGGAAGGTTTCCTCCATTGGAAGAAGTTCCCACCAAATCGAGCAAAGATGCAACAAAGGGAAGCAAACTAAGCTATTGTATGATTCTGCTTAAAGGTAGGGGCGACCCTTTGGGAGAGCCACAAGCGCAATAGTTGCAGCTGAGTGAGCCATGGACTACCAGCCTTCATTTGCCAATATATAAGATGCAATGTCTTTGAAGATTGTCCTCTCAGGAAGTCATCGACCCTGTTGAAAATGCCAGTTTTCACGGTACAACTAGAACCTTAATCCATAGCAATGATCATTTATCGATTCAAAAGTAAAAGAAAATACAATATTTATTGAACTAATAATATAGAAATAATGAAGAAAATCGTTCTGCTTTTCCAGCTTCTACAATGTCTACCAACACAGCAGGTTACAATTTTCCATGATTCTACACCTAGGTCATCATTAGTACTTAAGAGCCTTGCAGACCTAGTAGCATCAGAGAAGCTGCAGAGTTCTCTGCCTCCTTCACTCTTGATTTTTCATCTCCCGTCACAAAAAGCACAGCCTCGGCAATCTCAATTTGAACAGAGCATATAAATCGCCTATCATGAGCTGGACCTATCTCCTTTTCAATTCTGTAAATATTACCAAATATTCAGGAATCTAAATTTAGAAGCAAGGAAAAACATACTGACTTCTAATTTGAAGTACATGGCATGGAACTAAAATCGAGCTAAATGCGCAAGTATAACTCATGAAACTGAATAAGGGGTACCTGTAGTTTGGTTTTGGCCATCTTTTCCTTCCACAGAGCTCATGAAGTTTTTGTTTTGCACTTTCAATCTTAGTAGTAGATCCATTGACTTCACCTATAATGTCTCCACCAATCTTTTCACTAGCTTTGTAAGATAACTTCCGCAAAGCAGCCCTAGCTGCATGAAGCTTTGCATTTTCTTTCTGATCAGAACAAGCTGAGGCAGCAAATTGCCCATCAACATAAACACTTGCAATGTTTTTTTCCCCTTTTCTCCAATGTCTTATATCGACATGCTTTCCATCTTTCTGGCACAATTCGAATAGCAATGTTACTGGTTGAGGCTGATGTTGTAGTACATCAGGTGTGACAATTGGCTCCAATAAGCCCCTAAATATCTGAACCCAACAAAGGTACAAACCTTGAGAAATTCACATTGATGATCCAAAACATTTTGTAATGAATAATAGCTTCCCATATGTTCAAGAATCTAAGACAATAATAAGGCCTATTGCAACACCATCTACTTTGAATCGTCAAAACCTTAGTGGAAGCATGAAGGGAGAGTTTTCCTAATACATTGACACAATAATTCATAATTCATGATTCATGATTAGCAGTGTTGCTAGGTTTCTTTTTGTTTGGCGAACTATGGAATTAAAAAAACTCTATAGTTTTGAAAACCCCGTTTCTTTCATATAATTTGCTGATATTGAATTGTCCTAATATTGGAACAGACATCCAACAAAGCAGGGCAGGAAACTATCATTTTAACACATCTCATATTTCAATCTCATAAGAATGGTATAACATTATCATGTTTAATCAAAGGGGTGAATGGCACAGATAATAGAGGGAAAAAAGAAATAGAAAAAGCGCTTACCACCCACAACGCTTGCAGATCAAACCCGCAATCTACATATACAGCTGCAGCCACCGACTCCACTATGTCAGCAAGAACCTTTGGAGCCTTAATTGCCCCTCCATATACCTCTGTTTCATCCTCCTGCCCTACCGCTGTTGCAAAATCTCTCACCTAAACAATCACAACCATAACTGAATCCTTATTAACAGCAAAAATCATGCAAAAATCGCAAGCCGACCAAACTATAAATCTAAATGTATATTGGACTTGCGCACAAACACTTGTAGCTATCGAAGGTACCAGCATTCCAGAAAAAAATTGATAGAGAAAGGCTGCTACCTTTTATCTTTTCCAATTAATCACGCAAACTAATAGGTCCATCTCATATGTAACCTATTATAGCCATAAAAAAAAAAAAAAAAGCATACACGCCATGCATTCATGGTGGTATGATTTCCATCAATTCTAAGAAGGTACAATCATATAGCCGCAACAATCAAATAAAGTAGTACTGCTAGTATTTTCCAATTAATCAAACTATCTGCGAGAATCAACACACATACTGAACAACTTAAAAGCAAGCAAACGTGTGCATCAATAGCTATACGTCATGCATTAACCATGGTACCTTAATTCCATATTTTGAAAAAAGAGAGAGAGAGAGAAAATAAAAGGCAAAGAAAAACTTACTTTATCGTGAAGAGCAGCGGCATTGTGACGAACATATTTATGAAGGCCATGTCTGACGGCGACACGAGCTAACTTCTCGGTGCTAATATTGGCAGCCCGAAGAAGAGAGAGCTGGCCCGGGTCAAGGTCCGGGTAAGCCAGGAACACGTAGTTAGAGACGGCTAACCCAAGAGCGGCATCGCCGACGAACTCAAGCCGCTGGTAAGATGCCGAATCAGTGTAAGAAGAATGAGTCAGAGCTTCTTCTAGAAGCATCTTGTTCTTAAACTTGTAATTCAGGAGTTCCTCCACCGCCCTCACGGATGCTGCCATGTCTGTAACGGTCTCCGTCATGTCCTCGTCGTCGTCTGATGACGTCTGGAAGGTGTAGGCATACGTCACAGCATACTTTTCGGATGATTTCATGGCAGTTTAAACAAAATTTATGGGATATTCCACAGAGGGAAGACTTGGGCTCTGGGTCAAAGTTGGTGTGCTTCGGAATTCGCCGTTTGGACTTGTTTGATTGTCGGAAGGCGTTTTGGGAACACCAGGGAAAGAAAAGGGTGCCCCGGTGGGGGCGAACGTTTTAGGTGGGATGTTTTCTTTTCTTTTTTTTTGGCTCCCAAAATCGAATTGGAAGTGGGATTTCTGCCCCCCAAAATTTTGAGTATTCAATTTATGCCCTCATTTTCACTGATTAGGTAAGACATATAGAATATAAGTTGAGGTGGATCAAAAAAATGCTCATCAGAACCCCAAGAATGCAGGGAGCATCTATATGTATTCGAGTAACATCTTGTTTAAAATCTAGTATACTCTCTAAAATTGAAGACATTCTCACTTTCAACTTCATAAAATACGAATTAAAAGAACAATATATTCGAATTGTTGTCCCCTACATTAAAGAACAACATCACCAAAAGTATTATATGCCACCAGTCATCTTGTTTTTGTGTAAAAAATGAATTCGAAGAAAGAAAAGATAAAAATTTTGTAATCTTGTAAGTTTTTTTTTTTTTTGGATATCTAGGATGTTATTTTGAAGAGCAATACATCAGTATGTATGAACTTGTAGTGCAAATCTGTTGAGGGTAGGGGTGGGCAAAATTATCCGCTAACCTGAAAATCCGTCATATCCGATCCGATCTAATCTAAAAATTAGGATATCCGATTTTTATTATTTGATCGGCTCAAAAAAGGGTTGGGTATCCGCTAAGATGCGGACAGGTTAGGGTTATATAATTAAAAACCCGTGAGTATCCGATCCGCCCCGCATATATATATATATATATATATATATATATATATATATATATATATATATATATATTATTTTTATACATACACTATAAAATAATAAGTTAGAACTAAATAAGTAATTTTATTGAACAAATTGCATTACAAATATGAGAGACTATAGTTTATTTATAAGATTCATTTGTAAAGGCCATGATCTTATATTTCATAGAAAAAAGTTTAATTAATGTGGAACATATATATTAAAAATTATGCTACTTATTTCAAACTTTTATTGATTTTGAATTCTTTTAATTTTTTTTCCTTTATCTTATATTCTCTTCATATGCTTGTTTTTTGGTGGGAAATCTTTTTTTAGAAAAAAAAATTATTAAATCTTAGATGAATGTGTAAAATATAAAATTAAATTGGTATAAATAATTTTTTTTAAAAAAATTAAATGATAAACGGGGCGGGACGGGTACCCGCTGATCCGACCCTATCTCAGGACGGGTAAGGGTCAGAAAATAATTGACCTGTAAGGTGCGGGTCGGGTCAGCCAAATGGTGAATGGGACGGTACCGAATCCGCGCTCACCCCTAGTTGAGGGGTAGAAACAGTGGTTATAGTAGTGGAAAGTAAATGTAGTATAATAGGGGAGGTAATTTTAGTATTGTAAATCTGAAAAGTGTCAGGTAAAATTGTCAGAAATTGGGAAGGTTTCTAAAATTAACCCCACTCTGTCCAAGCTTCTCTTCGGATTTAACGTAAGTTAAATTGCTGGATACTGTTTATACTTAAAGATGTACTGAATCCATGCCTTGCTGATGCCGGGATACTTTGTACCTTTAATCCAGTTACTTTTATGTCATTTCCTGTGCCATATCAGAGTCGCGACTAGATTAGATGGAACTTCAGGGGTGCAACTTACTTTTCAATTTTCATAGTTTGGCTAACAGGTGCCTATTAAGCACCGGATAAGAGTAGGATTTGGGTATTAGTTTTTTAAGCAAATTGTAATTAATTCAGGAGGTACAATAAAATGTAAATGTGTCTATGTACATATTACCTTCCATGAAATAACAAAAAAAGAAAAAGAAAAAATAACTTACGTGCATTTTAGGTATCTTAATGAATGCCCATTCTGCATCTGCTAGAAAAATCTAATTTTTAAAAAGGTTTTATAAATTTTAGACGTAAACCAACTTAGGTGTTGATAAAGAAATATAGGAAAACATATTGCACATTAACCAGTATTCAAATAATTTGTATGTATTATCTAATGTAATGCATGTCAATCCAAGCCAAAAAGTGGAGAAAGTAACACCATGTAAAATTACATAATCCACGCCTATAAGTGATGTAATTGATTAACGAATGTATCTTGATATCTATTCATTTAAAATATTATTCTTGATATCTATTCATTTAAAATATTATTCGCTTGCATTATAAACATATTTTCAAATTAACTTTTTTATTTTTCTAACAACTTTTTATGGTCTTATATACATTATATGTCCAAGCAGGCAAGTGTATACTCACAATGTGCAGGTTCACCTCGTCAACCATGTACAAGTTCATTTCTAAGATATCAAATCTATGAAGTTGAACTAATAAATAAATAAGGGATAATTGCAGAAACCTCCCTTGAGGTTTCTGACATTTGCACTGACCTCCCCTGTAGTTTGAAAAATTACACTGACCTCCCTTGAGGTTACTAATCCTTTGCAAATTCAGTCCAAACGATTAAAATATTGTTCTATGGAGTGAAATTAGAATTTTTTATCAAATTTGTCCTTTGTACTACATATCCAATGAATGACAAAATACTACAAATCAATTAACAATTAATAAACTTTAAGGAGTATAGTTTATAGGCAAATATGCATTACCTATTTAAAGTACCGGCTTTTTATGGGTATTTTACTTTCAAACATTTAATTTAATACAAATATTTACGCTCAAATACATATTTGTATTTACTTTCAAATATTTAATTTTTGTTAAATACAAAAACTACCAATCTCTCTTCTGTAAAAATATTAATATAACACTTTTTCAATTTTAGTTACAAATATTTATGTATTTAACATAAATTAAATGATTCTAAATAAAATACCCATAAAAGCCAATAATTTACTCATATAATGGATGAAAGCCATAAATAATTAATACTTTATGGGTCATTTAAAAAAAAAATATTTAATTTATATTAAATAAATAACCTACCGATTTCCTTTTTACAAGAATATTACTGTAATACTTTTTAAATTTTACTAACAAATATTGATATATTTATCATAAATTAAATGTTTGAAAGTAAAATATTCCTAAAAATACTTTAAATAAGTAATGCGTGTTTGCCTATAAAAAGTCGGTAACTATTTAAAGTACCGGCTCTTTAAGGGTATTTTACTTTCAAACATTTAATTTAATACAAATATTTACGCTCAAATACAGATTTGTATTTACTTTCAAATATTTAATTTTTGTTAAATACAAAACTTACCAATCTCTCTTTTGTAAAAATATTAATATAACACTTTTTCAATTTTAGTTACAAACATTTATGTATTTAACATAAATTAAATGATTCAGAATAAAATGCACATGAAGAGCGAATACTTTACTAGTATAATGGATGAAAGCCATAAAAATTAACACTTTATGGACCATTTTTTTTAAAAAAATATTTAATTTATATTAAATAAATAACCTATTGATTTCTTTTTTGCAAGAATATTACTATAACAATTTTTGAATTTTACTTACAAATATTGATATATTTATCATAAATTAAATATTTAAAAGTAAAATACTCGTAAAAAGCTGATATTTTAAATGAGTAATGGGTGTTTGCCCGTAAATTATACTCCTTAAAATTTATTAATTGTTAATTGATTTATAATATTTTGTCATTCATTGAATATGTAGAACAAAGGACAAATATGGTACAAAATTCAAACTTCACTCCCTAAAATAATATTTTAATTGTTTGGACTAAATTTGCAAAGGATTAGTAACCTCAGGGGAGGTCAGTGTAATTTTTCAAATCATAGGGGAGGTCAGTGCAAATGCCAGAAACCTCAGGGGAGGTTTCTGCAATTATCCCAATAAATAAAATCACAACAACAATAATTTCTTACATGCTCTTTAGGAGTTGTGTGCCAAAAGTTATTGTTTTACACCTAAACCTTTAATCCAAAAGTCAATTGTGATTGTTATACACTTAATCCATCAACTGTAGACTAAAATTATGAGAAACAATTGTTGAGGCCTACGGTGTCATTTAACCTCCACCAGCTAAAGAGGTCAGGTCGGGGTGGACCAATTAAGAACACTATCAAGTGTCCAGCTACTGAAAAAAAACCTCTATAATAACATCAAATTCATTTACAAAACGACCTCGTATTCAAGTCGAGGCCTTTTAAGCCCCCTACGACAAGTTACTAGAGTTGTATAAATACCTAATCTACAAATGACCTTTTAACCAAGCAACTAAAGCAGCATGCACTTGAAAATGCAAGCTTTAATCATCAGCAGTAACGGCAAACAAAAAGGGGCTGGCCTCCAGTCAGTTCACTAGCATATGGTCGAACCCTGTCCCAGCTTGCAGTGCAACCCGAGGCCCTTGGACATTGTGAAGCAACTGTTGGAGCCATCGTCTCGTTGTTGGATCTTCCTGGCAACATGAAAAACATGAAAGATGAAGCTGAAGTTGCTTAATAGGTGTTGAAACATTTATATTTCCAGCATATCCACAATCAGAAAACAAGATTATAAGCTAAAATCTGCTCAAGTTACATATTAGTGTATACATACACGAAGGCAACTGCTGAAGGTGGCGTCTCTAAGCATGTCAGGAAGGCAGCTCCGAAGTGCATCACAAGCCCTACACAAGACAAGGTTGTAAAACCTTAATGTTTTTCATACTGAAACATGTGATGCATATGAACACAGACACCCGCACGTACACAAATTGAACATGTAAATGGAGGGACCTCGTCAGTATGCACAGAAAGAGGAGAGAGAAGGAAAGAAACAATATGCAATGAGGTATTGTTCTTGAAGCATCACCTTGGATTATCTGACAACCTAAGGTAGCACCTAATAATGTGCTTTAGCAGTCGCGATGATGGCTGCTCAGCAAGTGCAGCCACCATATTTCCCAGGACTCGACCTACAGCGAAAAACCGCTCTGCTGTGGTGCATATGTAATCCAGGCCCACATCGTCCAGCAGAATCTTTTGTACAATAAATGTGGCAACCTGCCAGCAGACACAATAAAAATAAAGTTCCATAAGGAAAGATAGTGAAATTGTGACTGCACAAAAAAAATGTCTAAATTGTGCAA